ATTACTATTACTACTACTACCACTACTACTACTACTACTACTACTACCACTACTACTACTACCACTACTACTACTGCTACTACTACTACTACTACTACTACTATTACTACCACTACTACTACTACTACTACTACTACTACTACTACTACTACTACCACTACTACTACTACTGCTGCTGCTGCTGCTGCTGCTACAACTGATACTACTGTTACTACAACTCTATATTACTACATAAAAACTTTATATAACCATATACAACTTTATACAACTTTATATAACCTTATATAACTCTATATAACTATTCTAACTATATATAATTTTATATAACCCTATATAACTTCAAGTTTCAATCACCACTTACCTCTATAGAAACTACTTCTGTCAATGCTGCTACTACTACAACATCTAATGGAGCGACTTCCACTACTTCTACTGTTACAACATCTAATGCAGCGACTTCCACTACTTCTACTGTTACAACATCTAATGCAGCGACTTCCACTACTTCTACTACTACAACTTCTAATGCAGCGACTTCAACTATTTCTACTGCTACAACTTCTAATGCAGCAACTTCCACTACTTCTACTGCTACAACTTCCAATGCAGCGACTTCCACTACTTCTACTGTTACAACTTCTAATGCAGCGACTTCCACTACTTCTACTGCTACAGCGTACAAACAAAAATAGCACACAAACAGCAGCATACATTGCCACATGTGTTTAAAAAAAGTTCCTTCATTCCTTTCAATCCGCCTATCAATCTATCCAACCATCGTCAATAGATTTCATTTTATTCTCCTTAAAGAGATTATCCTGTCTCGTTACGTCTCGTTTTGTCTCGTTATGTCTCGTTTCGTCTCGCTTCTTTTCATCCTCGCCAGCCAATGACAGAACGTTGCTAAAAAAAAGAAACTATTATATTCATATTTAAATTTTAAATAATATTAATATTAAAATAAAAGCGAAGAAAGTAAAATTGAAAACTTAGATGAGAAAAAATTCAACAAAATACCGCCTATAAATAACCAAGAACAAGACATTCTCCTAAACACACACGCAAATACATTAACCAAGCAATTGTTCCTCAGATGACGTTAATGACCGTGATGCCAAAAAGAATGAATGAAATGAATAAATGGAATAAATGAATGAAAGAAAGACAGATAGAAAGAAAAAGAGAGAGAAAGAAAGAGAGAGAGAAAAAGAGAGAAAGAGAGAAAGAGAGAGTTATTTACCAAAAAAGAGAAAAGTCAGAATTTCAGAACACGTGCGTCTCATTCAATAACTTCATCTCTATCCTTTGTATTATAAATGTAATGGTTGTATTAGTAGTAGTAGTGGTGGTAGTAGTAGTAGTAGTAGTAGTAGTAGTAGTAGTAGTAGTAGTAGTAGTAGTAGTAGTAGTAGTAGTAGTATTTCTTATATTATTAACCATAATTATTGATTAGCACGCCTTAGCTTGCTTCTTCCCTCAAATATTAACTGGTTACAAAATTTGCACGTGCTTATTATTATTTATTATTATTATAATAAACAATTATTATTATTGTTATTATTATTATTATTGATGTTGTTGTTGTTGTTGTTGCGATTGTCCCAAGTTTGCGACTATATTTTACAATTAAAACTGAATATAAGCAATTATAGGTTTGTTATTATGAATAATAATGCGTATTATTATTATTATTGTTATTATTATTATTATTATTGTTGTTGTTGTTGTTCTTAGTTGAGTTGAATTTAATAAATTTTTAATTTCAAACTAAAGAATAGGTCTCGTTTAAAAACCTTAAAAGTATTTGTTTGTTTGTTTGCTTGCTTGCTTGTTTGTCTTTGTTGAGGTTGTTGTTGATGATGAGAATGATAATGATGATGATGATGATGACGATGATGACCATGATGATGATGATGATGATGATGATGACAGTGATGACAAAGTCAATTTAGAATTCATAAGCAAAAACGTTATAGCAGATAGATCAATGTTTCAGACATTAAATAATTTCTCGAACTTTAAAATTGTAAATCGTTGAGTGCATTTCTGTTGTTGATGTTGTCGTTGTTGTTATAGTTGTTGTTGATGTTGTTGTTGATGTTGTTGTTGATGTTTTTCTTGATGTTGTTGATTTTTTTGATGTTTTTCTTGATGTTGTTGATGTTGTTGCTGATGTTGTTGTTGTTGTTGCTGCTGTTGATGTTGTTGATGTTGATGTGATTTTGTTGTTGTTGTTGTTTTCGCATAGGAATGCAACAAAATATATAATTTCTATATGCGGCCCAATGACACTGTCACATTGTTTCTCGAAATTTTTGGCGTTTTAAACAGACAAAAGCAAGAAGTACACAATATAAACTGTGTTTTTCTGGTTCGGAACTTCATTCATTCATCCTTGCTACTTCTTCTTTGTGTATTTTCTTCGAGAAAATGTTTTTTCTGTGTGTGTGTGTGTGTGTCTCCGTAATATCGATTGCACGCTAAATAAACAGGCCATTTTAATTCTCTTGCACGCACACACACACACACACACACACACACACATACACACACCAGACCACACACACACGCACACACACACCACACTTACATGCATACAAACATACATACAAACAAACGATCAAACAAATATACATATAGACATACAAACATACAAACATACTTACATTCAAACAAACAAACAAACATACATACAAACAAACAAACAAACATACATACAAACATACATACAGACAAACAAACATACAAACAAAATTACATACAAACCCGAATACAAACAAACATACTTTTGATTAATTACACTTTTGTTCGTGAATTATTTTGCATAATGTATTTTACGATCATAATGTGTGCGTGTATGTATGTTTATTATTATTATTGTTGTTGTTTTTGTTGTTGTTATTGTTGTTGTTGTTTTTTTGTCAATTTTTACATGTTAATGGATAGATTCTTTTAATGAAGTGAAGAATTTTCCAAAGCAATTATCAAGTTTTTTTTTCTTCGTCATTGCTGTTGTTGATGATGATGTTGTTGTTGATGTTGTTGTTAATGATGATGTTGTTGTTGATGATGTTGTTGTTGTTGATGTTGTTGCAGTTAATGATGATGTTGATGATAATGTTGTTGGCGATGATGATGATGATGTTGTAGGCGATGATTATGTTGCTGTTGATGTTATTCATGTTTTTGTCTATGTTGATGTTATTCATGTTGTTGTTGATGTTGTTGTTGTTGTTGTTGTTGTTTAATTGACTGATGTCGTAAATGAATGTTTACGCTTGTGTGACTGATTTAAATTTGGTTTATGTTAAGTTTTATTACGCGAGTTCATCTTCCTATTATCGTTCATGGTGTTGTTGTTGATGATGTTGTTGTTGTTGATGATGATGTTGTTGTTGTTGATGTTGTTGTTGTTGATGCAGCTTTGGCAAAGATTTATAATGAAAACAAACTGCAATGATAAGAACACAATGTGACACACACAATGTGAACATAATGTGACACACACGTACAAACACACACACGCACACACACACACACGCACACACACACACGCACACACACACACGCACACGCACACGCACGCACACACACGCACGCACACACACACATACACTCAAAACCATTTTAACGGTTGATTTTATATGTTGCATGGTTTCTAAAACAAACATTAATTTCGCTCATCTGTTTTTGCAGTTGCTTTGTTGTTTTGTTAGTTTGTATGTTTTGTTTTTATTATAATTGTTAGTCTTCTTCTTCTTGCTATTATTATTATTATTATTATTATTATTATTATTATTATTATCATTATTATTATCATTATCATTATTA